AAGAACAAACACAAAACAAACAACAGAAACCAAATGTTTTCATATACAGTATATACATTGTGTGTATATATATCATGTATGATGTTTCATGCATTCTTACAAAGGACAAAATAATGAGCAACTTCAAGCAATTGGGTAAAACTGGACAAACCTATTATTACAAGTGGAATTTTTCCATTACTATTGAAGGTTCAGTGTGTAGAATCTTGTGACATCTAGTGTTGAAGTTGCATGTTGCAGCTGAACACCCCTCACCTCACCCTCTCCTTCCAAACATGAAAAAGAACCTATGGTTGACTTAAATTGTCATAAACTCAAAAGGTGTTTAGTTTGTCCAGTCTCCGTAGAGAGGGTCCTCTTGATGTAAATATAAAGTATTTAAATATAAAGAGCTTTTTTTCTTTTCATACAATTCATACAATTTAGATTAAATGAACGAGTGAAAACATCATGAGGATTATTCTACATTCAGTTTCTGCCAATAGTTCCCTTTCACCTAAATCTTACACACTGGACCTTTAAAGAAAGACGTTCACTCCTTGAATCTATTGGTCATACCAAGTGCAATGAGGAGTTTCTGGTGAAAGGCCAGCACCCTATCCTTATCTTCGGGCCATTCCAAGATACAACATGGCCGCAACATGCCCCTGCGGAGGAAGAGCGTGCGAGATAACTTGTAGTCGTGCACATTCTGCAGGAAGACCAGAACCACAGAGTCCCTGCTGGCCTCAATGACCTGGTGCAGTGCATGGTGGGCTTTGAATCTGGGTGAGGAAAGAAGTGGGTAGAGAGACAAGTATGAGAGCTTCCTCTACTGCAAATATACAGCACAAATACAAAATGAAAGAAAATATATTCCATCAATGTATGACTTACCGTCTACACCAGGGATCCCTGAGAAGACTTTCAGTGACGACAAACAAGATTTTCCTGGACCTTCTCATGTTCTCCATGATGGATTCGATCATCGACACCCCAGGGACTGCATCTCGATCCTCCAAATAGAACCTGCACTTTTCATTCTCTAAGGGGACCATCACTCTCTCCACCCATCTGCTGTCCCTCTCTGCATGTATGATGTAAGCGTCATACTGAAATTCCCTGCCCTCTTCAACACTGGCATCACTAAATCCTAACGTGCGACTGACCAGTATGTTCCAGTAGAACTGAATCCTCCAGCCGTGGAACCTCACAAACAGCGCCGATACCATCAGCATCAAGACTGCGGTGCTGCTCAGTATGTAGAGAGCCTGAAATGGGGTCATATCTTTGCAGGAGAGGGTGTCAAACATCAGGATTGAGTGATTAAAGTAGGTAAGGGGAGTGTTGCACATATACTGGTCGCTGAGGTCTGGCACACTGGTCATGTTTGTGTTGTTCAACCACGTCACAAACCACAGGATGCTCTCACATGTGCAGTCAAATGGATTTTTGTCCATGACCAGTAGGCTGAGGTTGCTCATGGGAGTGCTGAACACTTCGGGCTTCACAGTTGTGATCAGGTTCTTCTGTAAACGCAAAACCCGCAAGGACTTCAGATCATCAAACACAGAGTCCTTCAGACTGTTGAGGAGATTGTTTGAGAGGCTTAGCTCCCTGAGGTTGCTCAAACCTTTCAGAGCCTCCTCTGGGATCTCATCCAGCCCGTTGTTATCCAACCATAAGGTCATCAACTTTGCTGCCCCTTTCAGAAACATCACCGGCCCACCTGGGTTGGCGTGCTTCCACAACCGCGCCAAATTGTTGTGTTGGAGCTTCAGCACCTTCAGGTTCTCAAGCCCTTCCAACATATCCTGTCTGATGTTTGCGATGTTGTTGTTACTGAGATCCAGGTAGGTGAGGTTGGACAGGGGCTGGAATGGTGATGGATCCAGATTCAAAGCATTGCTGTTCAGACTTTTTCCCAATGTCAGGACCCTAAGGTTGGGCACATTGATGAATGAGGTGGAGCTCAGCTGGATTTTCCAGTGGTTGTAGGTCATGTGAATCTCCTGAATCTGACCCAGGCCTTCAAACTCTTTTCCAGTGAGAGTTTGCTGTAAGTAATTTAAATCTAGAAGAAGATTGGTGAGGTTTGTCAAAAAGGAGAAGCTTCCAGGATTTATGTTTGTCATAGCTGTTGCTGTCAGATTTAGTTTTCTGAGAGGCGATCCTGCAAGTGACAATAAAGTTTTGTTGGTGATATCTCGGAGTGATATGCAACTACACCAGCTCATATCAAGCTCTTTAAGACTTGTCAAGCCTGTAAATGTTTGTGCTGTGATTTCCCGAATTGCAGTTTGCTGTAACATTAAACTCTCCAGGGTGCTTAATGGTTGAAAAGAGAAATCATCTATTATTGGGGTGGCGGAGGTTCGACCTTTCACCAGGGCTTTTGTCAGTGTGAGTTTTGTCAAACTTTTGAGCCCCTGAAACGTGGCCTTGGTCAGGTGCTTGATATTGTTGTCAGCCAAAATTAGAGTCTGAAGTCTGGGGAGCCACTGAAATGAGCCTTCCAGTATTTTCCCCATGCTGTTATGGGACAGATCCAGAAAGGTTAGATTTCCTTTCTGCAGCCCTGCAAAGGTCAAGTTTGTGAGTGTGACCAGGTTATTTTTTCGTAGAGACAAGGCATCGATAGATGTCTCCGACAGCTCAGAGCAGAGTTTGGAAAGAACCTGAGCACCCATATTGCTCCCATCCATGATTAAAGTACGCAGGCCTGAAATGGGCTTAAGGCAACCAGGCTCCAACTGCAAGAAAACCCAACAGAGATTTTGTGGTGAGACAAAAAAAGGGAAACAAAACAGACAACTGAAACTGAGGCACTACAGTACACCAACTCTGCTTCTGGTTCTAGTTTGGACAGCTCAATTTCATTTCCTATTTCCAGGTTAGTTTTCTTACTGTTTTTAGAGGCACGGATGAGAGATCAAGGACTTGGAGTGCTGAATTTTCAAGGAAATAGAAGTCTTCTTTCTTCAGTGTGGTGAAATCGTTCAATGCCAGATTGAGGGACACCAGTTTGGGCAGCTGAGGCCGAGAGCTGAGCTTGGCTGACACCATTTTGTTCATGGAAACATCGAGAGATTTCAGATTCTGAAAGGTGAATAAACATATAATCAGTTACTGAATTAAATTGAACCCCCAAAAGTGACACATTGGTGTTATGGAGCCTGTACCTTTAGTGCAGAGAAGGGCTCCCCATGTAGCTTTAGCCTATTACTCGCCATATTCAACCATGTTAGGCTCGTACAGTGACTCAGATCCTCCTCCTTCAGCAAGTGCACTTCATTATGTTGGGTGTTCAGCGTCTGCAGCAGCGGCAGCGTCTGGCACAAATGCTCGTCCAGCTTCGTGACACTGTTGTAGCTGACATCGAGGTGGAGGAGCCCTGGGTAGGGGTTGAGTGACGCAGGGGGAATCCCCACCAGTCGGTTGTGGGACATGTCCAGGCTGGAGATGTTCCCCGGCAGGTTCGGAGGGATGGCACTGAGGCTGAGGTGGCTGCAGTCCGCTCTGCCGTCTTGCACGTTGCAGGACGTCTTCTTGTGGGAGGCCAAGCAATGGTGAGGCCATGTCAGAAAATAACATACGATGATGATCCATGTGAAGTGAAGAGAACGAGGGGAACACATTGCTTCAAAAACCTATGGAAAGAATAGAGTAAAATCTTGAGACAGAACAACCAAGAAATTGTATATTGTAGAACTTGAAATTACTCTTAGTGTGATTTCTAGTGAATAAAGAATATTGACTGGCTTTGTAATCTAAATATTTGCTTCAACAAACTGTATTAAGTGTCATGTATGTGTCATGTATTAGAGTAGAGAGAGAGAGACAGGTATTCTGTGTTTGAATCCGATCTGATGTTTTCCCCAATTACATGAACATGAGTGATTGTACTCTCAACCAACTCTAACCCACAGAGGAATATTTGGCTTTTTAGCAACGTAATTCTCCGCTCACCTGCTTGCCTGCTGTTTGCTGATGGTCTGTTAATGAAGTCTGACACTTCACACACTCACTTCATCGATTGTTGATATATGCAGCAATGTACAATCTACGTGTTGTTCTGACAACAGAAATATGTTCCAAAGACTTATTATTATTATTATTGATATGATTACTATATGATAGCATAAAAAATACAGCACATAGTCACATCATTTTACACACTCTACGACTGGCTCATAGATATTTAATATAAAAATACCTGCAGATTCCTTACCAAATGTTGCCCCTGCACACTGCATCAATAATTGTAGATTTCAAATAAAAACGAATGCATTTCCAGCTTCAAAAACTCTGGTGCTGTTTATTGTGGAAGAGTCTTAGCTGCTTGTGAGGCAGACGGCAGCACAACATGAATTTAAGGAAATGGGGCAGTGAACTATCTGGTTTCACTTCCACGTCAGGGGAAAAATGGAGATTCATTAACTGTTTCATGAAAGAGGCTCAGAAGCATTTTGGGATGTCAGAATAAAAGTCCTACTTGACAGGAAGCAGTGTGATGAAGTTGTTATTTAATGTTTAGGTATAACATTCATACCTGTGATCAAAATGGCTCCAGACATAAAGAGGTGTGAACCCGGAATGTAAACAGGTTGTGGCACATTCAGACTTTGATCAGACTGGTGTCTCAGAGGGACTTGTACCGTAATATATGTTATATAAGAGAAGGTTGATATCTATTCAATTAAAATCATCGCATATATCTGTTGTCAAAGTGTTCATTTCAATGATCAGTTTAAACATCGCATCACAACAATGGCTGATAAAGATTTTTAATAAATCCAAATATTGGATACGTGTGTGTTAAAATCATAGTGAAGCCTGTGGGACAAATACCGTAATTATAAAAATAGAGCTGCAATGTATTTAATGAGGAAAGAGAAACTCGGTACAGAGCACAGCTGTCTACATATGAAACCAAATCTAAAGTCACTAGATCCTGATTTTTATTTGCATCTGCAAAAAATAGTTCATAAACATCAGTCCGCTGAACAAGTCAGTTAAATCAACGAAAATCATATTAAAGCTCACCATGGTATAGGAGGTGGCGAAATTACAGCAGCTACCACTGAAAGGTGTATTTAGTAAAAAAGAAATGCAATAAAACAATCAGTTAAAAACTATACAAAATAGTGCAAAAAGAGGTGCAAAAGGAGGTAGTTGTGGTTGGATAGTAAAAAAAAAAAAATTTTTAAGTTCAGTGTTCTGACAGCCCATGGATAGAAGCTGTTCTTCAGTCTATTGGTTCTTAATCCTGCGAACTAAGATAAACAAACATACGCAGACAAAAACTTAACTTGGCGGAGGTAATAACTATAAGTAATACAGGCCTATTACTTTACTATACCTATACATTTTTATTTGTCTCCTGCATCCCTGTCAGGACTGTTCATGTCTCTTGACCACATGTATCTTCTTATAGGCCATGTGTTATTTGTGCTGCTGTGGTTGAACTTGTCTTCAGGTCATAACGTTTCATCCATTTTGTAAAACAAGCTGTACGTACTTTACAATGAGCTGAAATAACAAGTCCTCCCATCCAAAGATTATATGCTCAAGGTTTTATAGACTGATACAATTCAAAGGCAGAAATTATCATGCCCAAAGTGTAGGTGAGTTATGGATCACATCTGCAATGATCCATTTTTAAACAATTGGCGTGTGTGTGTGTGTGTGTGTGTGTGTGTGTGTGTGTGTGTGTTAGAGAGAAAAGTATGCTGTGTATTAATCTGTGTACTGTACACTGTATGTGTTTTTG